CTATATTCTCAAATTTTGATTTGTTTTTGATCCTTATTTGATTTTTTTGATCCTTCTTTGATTTTTTTGATGCACATCCCTTTCAGGAGCCCACGAGAATGGCGAAGATGCCATCCCCCAACAACTAACCAAGAACCTCAGATTTTAGGTGGACCCCCTACCCTCCCTGTAATAGTGACTGTAAGGAATAATAGTGATTATATTAGGGGGGGGGTCCTCCTAACTCACGTTTGTCTGCGAAGAGCCCATCTTCACATTTCATGTCAGGAAAATCAAAAATGCTTCAAGGGCCGAAAGCACTATACATCCTAATACGAATATAATAGGATCCTAAAATCCTTCTTATTACCCCTGATAGTCACTATTACAGGGTGGGGGGTCCACCTACACTATACAATGCCCCTGTTATCCCCCTATGGCAACATGCTCCAACCCTTGAATGAATACCAAAGCCACCAAAACAATGGCATAAGACATGAGAGCAACCCTCAATCCTCTAAACACTAAAAAATCAAACCCCAGACCTTACACACTCTATAGATCGCTAACCCACAAAAAGCAACCCCCATCAACCCTAAACCCTACAAGACATGAGAGCAACCCCCTCCATCACTCCAGGGCATGGATTGTAGGTATCGGAGCTCCAGCACCTGGAGAATTGTGAATTGAGCCAGACATCTTTCGGAGTGGCTTTCAGGTTTAGGCTTTAGGGGAAAGAGAAAACACCCCGACGTGCATGACGTGGTCGACTCTAAAATCATTATCTAATGGATATTCGGGACTATATGGTGGTTGTATGGCAGTAAAGTGGCCTTCTGTTCTCCGTGAAAGGTCCTTACACAAGCGATTCTTCGCACGAACGCAGCCAGGAACCCCCCTAAAATGAGCATTTCTCAATCTAGGGGTTGAGGCATAAATTCCTCTCCCTTGTGGGGTGCTAGTAGAATGAAATTAACAGACCATGTCCAACCCTAAACCCTAAACTCATGTCCAACAATGACCCAGGGCTGCGCCTGAGTGATAGCAGACAACTCTCCCTTAGAGTAACAGTTACCACACGGGGTAATAGGAGTTATAATAGCCCCTTTAATCAGACCCTTTTAAGGACAATTACTGGGATGAGGAATGACCCAACAGACAACAAAGTTTCAGGCGAGGCTACCGCTTCCAAGGGCATTTTTAGGGTTTAGGGCTTTGGGGGTTT